TTTTTTAAATTTTTTGCCTTTGCAGACCTGCTGCAAAGCCTCGAACTTCAGGGTTTTGTTGTAGAAAGCCAGCTGGTGCTGCTGGTGCAGGACAGCCCTTGCGTGGGCAGCGGGGCGTTGCCGGGTGCCCGGCTCTGGTCCCTGGGTGCAGGAGCTATTTTGTGACTCTTTGCACAGATACTCAGCTGAGGACCACGTTTGCACCTTGCCCTGTCCTGCGGTGGCCCTGAGATGCCTCCACAGGCTCTCTGGGCTGTGCCAAGGGAGCAGGGTGAGAGCTGGGCAGCTTCACCCCAGAGCAACGCGTGCTACAACGGAGCACGGGGCAAAACTGTTTTGTTTGACGTGTGTCTAGGCTTTGTCTCCAAGGATGACAACCCTGAGCCATTTATAGCTACAGTTTGGGACAGTCTCCCTGGTCCAGCCCTTATCCTTCAGAGGATCTTCCAAAAAGCTAATGCTGTGCTTTGCAACTCTAAGGGGACTCTCCCTGGAGAAGTAAAAGGAGAAAAAAGGAGTATTCCTGCTCTGAAACCTTAGGGAAAACCTAGATTTTCAGACAACCAGGCTAACAAGGATAGGCAAAGCTAACACCAAAGTTGTGTTCATGCTTCTTCTAACACAGCATCCAGCACCTACCCAAATACAAGCAAGTCCTATCAAAGCAACTTACACCTGAGCTACTGTGCTTTCTTCCTCCTGATATTTCATACTCCAACAACAGGGTCTGGATCCCAATGACACCTGAGTTCTGCTGGAATAATGGGTTACATGAGAGGTTTTGGGGTGCTTGGCCTCCAGGCAGTGCCAGAACCTCACTCCAGGAGGACAGCCTGCCAACCTCATGTTTATGTTTTATAGGTTTGCAGGATGATGGCAATGGAAACAGCAAATCACAGCCACCTCAGGGGAGAGACCTGAACGGTATGTCATCTTCTCACTCTGCTGATAAACTAACCACAGCACAGAAAAAAACCATTTGCAAGCTTTTAGCACCCAGCTGTGCCTCTTGAACATAAGCATGCTTGAAACAAACCCATCCCTTTCCAGCTCTTTGGGGAGCTTCAGTGGAGACACACAGGAGGTCTTGTGCCATGGGAAGCATCCCCCCCCATGCTCTCCTCTGCCCCACGTGTGGTGAGCTGCAGGGGATTCTCCTGCAAGCTGCTGTGGAGCTTGGTCATACTTCAGGTGCACAGAGCTCTTCTATGTCACAGCCAGCTGAGGGCAGGGCAAATTCAGTGCCCTAAATTGTTCAGGTTGCAGATAGAGCTTCCAGAGACTTCCCCAGCATTCACACAGCTTCAGCAGGGTCTGGGGCAGGCAAGAAAACTTTGGGGTTTCAATGCATCTATCCACTAGTCCTTTCTTCATCTCCCCAGCTCAGAGACTGCTGAGTGCAAGGCAGGTGTCATTGCTGTCCAGGAACCATGGGGCTGCTAGTCTTGAACATTCCCCTGCCAATTGCTCACCCCTCTGCCCTGAAACAGTTTAGAGGGACCATCTGAAGAGGTTACCCCTGGCTGCACACAGCCAGGCTGCAGGGTTGCAGTGCAGCAGGACAGAGCAGCTCCCAGGGAAGGACTCAGACCATTGGACTTGCTTTCCTGGTAGTCTAAGCCTAAGGCCACCTAGAGAAAAGGAGGGGGCAAAGGTAAAGCAAGACAAGGGGTAACTCTGAGGGTACTAAATAGTGGTTTCTAGTCATAGGAAACAGGAGCTTTGCTTCCACAGCAATAGCAGCATACAAAACCCACTGCTGTGCCCAGTGTGATGCTCAATAGGAGCCCTCATCCAAGCCCCTCTGAAGTCAGTGGTGGCTGGATGGCACTCACAGACTGTGACCAAAGTTTCCTGGCAAGATACAACTTTGGGGTTGTTTTTTTTTTAACAAATCTGATGGTCTCAGACACCAGCTAAAAGCCTCCAGCAAGCAGATAAATATTCAACATTCCTTCACCCCTCCATCGTGCTCAAGAGGGTCTGCAACCAGAGCTGCAGAGCACAAGTCAGAGCTTCCACTGGGAGTGAGAGGATGGTATCAATCATTTACCACCCTGAACTAACAGCAGGAGTATTTAGTATGCACATGGGAAACCTTCCCTTGCAGCTCTTCCTAGGGCCCAGTTTAAATCCTTGTGAGGATTGCTCAGGAATTCAGATGGCAGAGGAGCAGGCAGAGCTTCCTCTCCTCTAGCACTGCAGGGGTTAATAAATTCCCCTTTAATCAGCTGTATTAGCATCTTGATGAAGCCTCTCACACCACCCAGCAGCTGGAGCTGCTGCAGGATTCACACACTGTCTCACAGAAGCCTCACCCCAACTCCATGGGAGGCAAAAGGCCCGAGGCCCCACGCTGCACCCCAAAACCCCACCACTCCCAGGCCTGATCCTTGCCACAGCACGAGGGGGACGAGTGGCATCTGCCCTCCAGACTGAGCCCTGCAAACCAGGTGCCTCGAGCTGCTCCCTGCTGGCTGCCAGGACAGGGATCCCCTGGTGCCCTGGAAAAGGCTGAGGGATCACCTCGGTGTCCTGGCCGAGGTCCACCCCAGCTCCAGGAGCACCCAGAGTGGTGCAGGAGCTCAGGCTCCCTGTCCTGGCAGCTGCTGGCCCTGGCTAACTGTGTCAGACACATGCTGCCTGCAGCTGCAGGGTCTCGGGGTGCACGAGGTGCTCCCCACACCCCCCTCTGCCCCAGGTCCCCAGCAGGCATCACGGTGTGACCTGGCTTAGGAGGAGAGGCTGGGGGACCTGGTGTTGTTTAGGCTGGAGGAGAGACCTTGGTGCACTCTACAGCTCCCTGAGAGGAGGTTGTGGTGAGGTAACAGGGATAGGATGAGGAGAAATGGGCTGAAGTTGCACCAGAGGAGGTTTAGATTGAGTGGTGAGGCTTTGGAACAGGCTGCCTGGGGAGGTGGGGCAGTCACCAGCCCTGGAGGGGTTCAAAAAACTTGTAGACATGGTACTTCAAGGCAATCATAGAATCACTATGGTTGGAAAGGACCTCTAGGATCATCACATCCAACCTTCAACCCCACATCTCCCTTACCACTAGAGCACAGCCTCAATTCCTACATCTACTCATTGTTTTAGACACCTGACATGTTTTCTAAACACAGGCATGATTTAGTGTTCATGGTAGTGCTGGGTGATGGTTGAACTTGATGATCTTAGAGGTGTTTTCCAGCCTTAGTGATTCTATGATTTCTATGGTCAAGGGGTCCCAGAGCACAGAGGGGAGAGGCTGAGATGAGGCTGAGGTGCTGACAGCCACACCAAAACTCCTGCTCAAGGACTGCATCACCTCCAAGCCCTCTGCACCACCCACCCACTTCTCCAAACACTGATCCAAGCACCCCAACCCCTCACCCTTGGCAGCAGTGCCCACTCCAGCCCAACCCCAGGCTGGAGCATCCCTCTAGAGAGCTACTTGGTGCCCCTGGACCACCAGGAATTGGGCTTCAGAGCTGGAGAATGGGGTCAGGCTTCTTGTGTTGTTACTTACTGAGTAGATTTAATCCACCTTGGCTCCAGGATCTCTGCCCTCTTCAAAGCACTGAGATGTTTTTCTTTGTGCCACCAGGCCAGCAAGTCTCCAGGAATCCCTGCAAGCAGACACAAGCTGTAACTTCATATTCTAATGAAGGTAATTGGCAACCTAAGGAATATTGGGGTTTTTTTTTCAGAGCAGGCCTTCAGTGAGCTCCCAATTAAGCTTTTTTTGGTAATAAAATAACCTCAGAACATCCCAAAAGAGCAAAAAAAAACACAAACAAACTCCACCCTGACAATTTTATCCCAGGGGAGCTTGGAAAATTATTTGGTCTTAAGTTCAGCTTAAGACAGCTGCTTGCAGAAGTCCTTTCACAGGGTAGATCCCTCCAAGGAAATCTAAAAATTGTACTGTTTGCACAAATTGATGCCTTTGAGAAACAGCTTCACTTTACCTTCAAATTTCCTGACAAAATCCACCAGCCAGCTCTGATCTTGACACCCTGGTATCTGCAGTCACCCCAGAACTGTAGTCAAACTCTAGGATTTAAAAGGGCTTTTCTACAGTTTCTCTTGCTTTTGGGCTTTAAAGGACATCAAACTTTTCTGCATAATCACAGGAAAGAAACTTTTTTTGAAGTTCAGTTCTGCTGGAAAACTTATTCCTTGATGAAAGTGCAGATTCCTCCCTAATTAGCTGATTCCAAGAGCTGGCTCTTTCAAGGAGAGCCCCAAATGTCCTGAGACTCTCAGTCACACTGCAGGAGGTAGCACATGGGATGGGATGGCAGCCCTGAGGTGCTTTCACATCTTGACCTCCAGTCTCCACAATAACCTCTGATCTGAACTGGGGAGCCCAGGAGCACGCTGAGGCCCTCCAGGGAACCTTGGTGGTTGCAAAAGCTTCTGAAATACTTACAGCCTTTGCCAAAAAAATCTTAATATCACAAGTCAAACCATTTTCCTTGCTCTTCAAACCTTTTTCCTAGCTCTGAGCCTTTTTCTGTTTGATTTTGAAGAAAAATCAATGAAAGAAATTGATTCTCTGCTTACCTTACCTCCACCAAGAGCTATTTAATATGGTGATAAACCCTTTTTTTTTAGCTGCCACAGAACCCTCACTGAGGACCTCTGCTTTATTTAGGAGCCACTTTATCACAAGTTAGTCTATAACAAGCTGTCTGTCTTATATTTTTGGAGAATTACCAGTCATGCTGGAGGTGGGCACAGGTTTTCTGACTGTACATTTACCTTAAGGGTGCTTTGTTTTGCCTGGAAACCCAAAGGCTTTGGTACCTTTGTAGTCACCAGAGCCTGTTGGCCATGGCACTGTCACACCTACCCGAGACCTTCCCAAGGCTCCACAGCTTCTTTTGCTGAAATTCAGAGTTGGCTTCAGCCAAAACTTGGCAAGCAATGCTGCCCTTCTTCTCCTCCACATTGCCCTGGGTTTGTGGGCCACCCCCAGACTGGTAACACACCTCCTCCTTAGTTTATACCTTTCTTAGGGAGTTTGTCATGATCTTTTGCAGGAACCCAAGTGACAGTGGAGGTTCATCCCAAGAATGCCACCCCACAACTCTTCAAGAAACTGTCCTTTGGAAAAGGTACAGCCTGGGCTTTAAACCCTGGCAGAGAAGGTCAAGGGTGGGAGGGCAAAGGAGCCACATCTTTCCTTTTGCAGGAGTAGAGAGGGCAAGAAGCCTGGGAGCTCAGGGAGAAGCCCAGGAGCTGAGGGAGGTGGGTGGGGGTTGTGGTGATTGCACTAACCATGCTGGGCTTGTTGCAGGTCCCCAGAGGCTGCCCAGTCTGAGAGGTCAGGACAACAAAGGTGAGACTCTGCTCTACCACAGTGTCCCATCTCCAAGCTAGCCCTTGCCCAGGAGCTTGCTCCCAGGAGGAGACAGGTCCCCTTCTCCCCACGGGGCCTGGAGGCTCTTGAGAAGATGCCAGCCCCTCTGGCTCACCCTCCCTGCCAGGCAGATGCTGCTGGACCCTGCCCATGCGTGGGGCTTGAGGGGCAAAATCCTGCTCCTGGGGCAGGGGTGGGTCTCCTCTTCCTCCAGCCCTGAGAGAAGGCAAGTGGTGACAGTTAGAGGGCTGCAGCATCCCTCAGAAATCCTCCTGCTGCAGACCCCTGGGCAGGGTTGGCATCTAACAGCTCTGGAGCTCAGCTCTCCCTTCTTCCACGCCTGGGGGGGGGTTGGCCATGTGGTGGGCAGGGGTTAGATGTCCCCAGCCCTCAGGCTAGAACAGGAGATGTCTGACTGCTGGGGAATGTGGCCTCTGCAGAGCTGCAGGACCTCGGGGAGGGGACACCCCACCCACGCTCCAAGGGGTGTTGACCTACACGTCCAAACTCAAGGAAAGGAACAAAGAATAGCTTCAATTTCAGCTTTTTCCACCCAGTCCTGCTCCCCAGAACCACTTATTTCTGTTGGTGCTTTTTCTCCTGCCAACAACTGCTCCCCTCACCCTCCCTTCCCCTCTTTGCTAGGTTTCCAGAAGACTGAAGCCCCACGGCCACCAGGAGGAAAAGACCTTCATGGTAACTAGCAGCTGTCCCTGGCATGGTGGGGGCACAACCCAGCTTGGAAACCCATCACACCTAAAAACAGGCCTTGCCCAGCTGCTAGCCTACACTGAAAAGCATGGCCAAGGGATTTAATTTCTATTATCACAAGTAGCCTTCAGCTCTCAAGCTCCTTGTCAGGGTGGGGGTGGCTCTGGGACTGTCACACGTGCCTGAGACCTTCCCAGGACACACACTGGGCTGCCTGAGTTCCTGCAGATCCCAGCTCTGTGGGGAGCTTTTGCAGCTCTAACCTGGCAAAGATAAAAACTGATAACCAGTTTTAAAAAAAAAAAAAAAACCCATCCTGTTCCCAAAGGGCAAAAAGTAATTTTCAGAGCTGTAGAGAGTGGAAACCTTTCAACGTGTAAATCTGTTTTATCTCTCTTTAGGTCAACCTAATAGCCCTTAGCAGGGAAAAATCAAAATAAACAAACAAGCCTATTAAAGAAACAGATGCCATGTGCCTACGTGCTGCTTTTGGCAGACAGGCTCCTGCCCAGCACAGGGATGTGCCTGGCAGGCTGCACCATCACCAGGACACGGAGGCCCTGCAGCCCCTCCCTGGGGCAGAGGGTTCCAAGAAAGCAAGGCTCACCTTAACAAACCATTTCTGCAGGTCAGAAATAAACCTTCTGGCCACCTCCCCAGTGGGCTGAGCCAAGCAAAGGGGGCAGAGCCCCATTTTGGGGAGATGGGAAGGGAGCAGGTGAGGACTGTGGGTTTCAGAAGCTCTGCCACCTTCTCGTGGAGCTTCTCACACATCTCACTGCCCCTGGCACTCACTGAGCAGGCAGCAGAGGGACCTCCTGCTTGCTTAGCAAGGGTCAAAAATTAAACAGTGTGCAACCAGCCAAAGCCTCTGTGCCCCCACCTGCAGCCCAAGACAATTCACTTCTTGGCAACTGTCTCTGGGCAAACAGAAGCTCAATGGCACCACTCATTCACCTCTCCCAGCACGCAGGAGTCACACAACAGCATTTTCTCTTTGTGATCTCTTTTCAATCCTTTTTTTTCTAGAGAAATAACAACCCTACTGAGATAGCCAGGAGAATCTCTTTAGGCCTGAACAGCTTTGACAGCACATGCCAGGGGGAGAGATTGCTGCAGAGCCCAATTCTCCTCTCAGCAGCTCAGAAGAAAAGGGAGGGCCGAGCAGACGGTGGTCCAGGGGAGATGTCCACACAATACATCTGTGCACCAAGCCAGAGCTGCACCACTTGGGTGGCTCACTGAGGAGAGAGAACAGTGTCAGCTCCCTCACAGACTGATAAAAATATAAGTTATGTGGTTAATTAGGGCAAACTATTAACCCTTCCTTCACAGTGAGTAGAAGTGGGAGCCTAGAGCCTGCGAAGACGCAGAGGTCAGGCACACCAGCTTCAGTCTGGCTGCTCCCCATTTCTCATGGGCTGGAATCTGTGCTGAATCACAGCCCTTCACATGCAAGGTGGTCACAGCTTTCAGCAAAACGGCTGCAGAAATCCAGCTCTTGGGTGGGGTTTTGAAAAAAAAGTCACATTGTTGCCAGGGCTTCCACGGGACTGATTTTCCCTGCTACTTCTGCATTATCCCTTGCACCTCCATGTCATATCCTGGGATTTTCTATCCTGTTATGCAGTGCCAAAGACACAGGGGCACCTCCCACTCCAGCATTGCCCAAATTATACCAGACTAGACAGGATGGCTCCTGCTTTCCATGCAGCTGGCAGAGACCTCCTGTGACTGCCCTCGTGTCCTCTGCTCCCTAAGCGCCCGCTGATGGATCCCTCTGCACGTGGGGCAGGAGCTCTGCAGTGTCCCCTTGTTTGAGTGTTCAGCCAGGAAAAAAAAGCCCCCCCAACCCCTCCCTTCCCTAGACAATGACAACTTGTTTCTTCCCAGCATATCCATGGGACAAATCCTCTTTGAAATCCATACCAGTAGATCTGCAGCAATTTGAGAAGCTGGATGCCTACGCATTAAAAGTAAGTCTTGCTTTTGTCTCTGTCCTCCTCCCAGCTCCCCTGCAGGGATGAGACCTAGCTGCCACCACTGACACCAGCTCAGTTTGAGCTCTGGGGGCAAGCCCCTCAAAAATCCCCCAAACTAGTGAAAAACCATTGCCCTGCAAACATCAGCAACAGAGATTCTGCTCTAGGAGGGAAACTATGACTGAAAAAAACCCATGCTTGAGACACAGAGCTACAGCTTTGTGTTTCTATTTTTACTGAAGCTCCAGTTAGAGCAGTCTCATGGTAGGTGGGGTCTGGGTAGCTTTAGAAGAACACAGGAGCAGGGAGGAAGGGAGATGGACCACAGCAATCCTCTTGCAATGCTTCCTCCTCACAACCAGGTGAACGTCAAGAACAGCGTGGAGGAGCTGGTGAAGGCCCTGCTCAAACAGGCCAGGACTGACCTGGAGAAGGTCAGAGCCATATGGATCTGGATATGCCACCACATAGGTAGGTCAGGCTCCTCCATGGAGGAGAAGCCTGTTGCTGTTACCCTGTTATGCTGCTCTTGCAGTTTATGGAGTGTCTTGGGGGTTAGTTTCACTTGGGTGGGAGGAGAGATTTCTGGGTGTAGTTACCCAGAAATGGATTCAGGGGTTATCTCACCATCTCTGTTTCCATAGTCTCTCTCCTAGCACTGCTGGGCCCTACAGGCTTTGTGTGGAAGTGATTTCTCTCCACACAATGAATCTGTCACTTCTGCCTGGCTTCTCTGAAGGTAGAACCATGCAGGTCCCTGTCACTTCAGCAGCTGGAGCATGAAGAGAGGCTGCCAAGCCCTGGAGGCTTAGTTGTCACAGGCAGAGCCACCTAATGCCACCAGAAGTTTTATCTCCACCACTTGTCCTGAATCCCCACCCTTCCCCCCATGGAGGCCTTCCCAGCACACTCTGCCTGCTGCTGCCTTTGCTCCAGGAGGGTCTCAGGTCCCACCAGGAACCACCAAGCTTCTCCCCTTTGGGCAGCAGACCACCCCTTGCAAGGAGCAGCCTGGTGAGGTGCCCTCTTGCTTCTGACAGTCTCCTGGCTGTTTGGCTGCCAGCTTTGCCCCTGTGTTTTGTGGATACATCCAGTGCTCCTGTTCCTCCTGTTGACACATCCATCAAGATGTGATGTCAGCACAGCACATCAGAGAGGCCAGCCTTCATAAAACTGGCTGGCACCTGTGTGATTGCTGTTCCTGGCTGTATGTGAACCCTTTCAACCTTCATGAGAGCTGCAATCACTCATTTTTTCTTTGCCCCTTCCTACCCAACCCCAAGCCAAGCATCAGTGGAGGTGCAGAAATAACCAAGTGATGGGAAGAGGACAAGGAAGGAGGAGGAGGCATCACTTGTAGCTTTTCCAGTCTGGCACATCAGAGGGGCCAAAAGGCTTCTTGCCACCCCATGCTCCTTGGTGGGGGGGAAACTGGATAAGCAAAAATGCTTCTTTCCTGTTAAGTTTTGGGGGTAGAGGGGCAGAAGTAAAGCTATTCTTTCCCTCCCCTCTTGGGCACCCTGATGGACTCTGGTGCAGTTTGCTGGCTGAAGAAGTCAGCTGACAGAGAGCAGAAAAGCAATTTGGGAAGCACTGGCCTCATCTCAGGCCCAGTGAGATCAGCAGAGCTTTGCCAGCAACTGCACAGTGAGCAGAGCTGGGTCAATCCCAAGCAGCCTTCATCTTCAAGGTGTGGAGTGCAGATTTCCCAGCATTTCCTGCAACCCAGCATTTGACTCATCCCAGCCCCAGCTCCTGTCAGCCAGGGATCATTCAGGCTGTGCTGAATGTGAACTCATTCCTGCCTGGGCCAGGTCCTGCTTGGGATGGCTGGAGTTGGTCCACTCACCTTCCACACATTCACAGGATGTCTCTGAAGCTCAGCAGGCACGCTGTGGTCTCCTCACAGGATTTTTTTTACACCATTTTAGCCCTGGTTCTCCTTCCCTCCTGTAGAGAGTGACTCCTGTGGGGGAATGGGAGATAAACACAGTGCTAGGAATTGAAATCAGCTCACAAAAATGCAACGTCTCCATCCTGGAAGAGCAGTGATGCTCTAAACTCCTTCCCTGTTTGTATTTTAAGTAAGAGCACTGCTCCCTGACTCTCTCTTCCCACCCAGTTCAACTCCCTGGCTCTGTTGGACTGCAACCCCCATGCAGCAGTAGCACTAAAATTATTTTAGCTATCCTTTCTAGCATAAATACAGAGCTATGTGCAGCCAGCTAGCCCTCCATACCCCTCAAAGTGCTCTGCAGCTCTGCTGGTGGCCCAGTGGACAGCCCAGGTGGAGAAAGCCAAACTTTCCCTCCAGCCCCACCAGCCAAACCTGAGGCAGGCATCAGCTGAGCCTCTTGGATGCAAGACAAGCAGTTGCAGCATTTCAAAGCACAAAGGAGCACGTTGCCAGCCTTTTTTTTCCCCCCCCCTCTTCTTCCACAGCATTAAAAAGAGGATGGATGAGCTGACGCAGCATTCTTTAGAGCTTTGTCAGAAAAATATGTTCATATTTTAAGAAAGAGGTTATGGACACGGCCAAGGTTGGTCAGTAATGAATTAACCTCCCCTGACCAGTCCCTCAAGCTCTGCCTGAAGGAACCCTGCTGTGCAGCTTTTCTCTACTCATTCAAACAAATTAAGATTTCTTACACTGCTGGGTATTAATATGACTCACTTGCAACAAATCATTTCAGGTATTTCCCAACAAGCTACTTTCCAGGTATTTTTAATACAAATGGCTTGTAAAGAGTGCAGAAAGCTCTCAGTGGTTTCCTTTGACAGCAACACAAGTTCAGCTCCTTCAAAGGCAGAGCGCTCTGGTTTCTACGAGGAGCTTTTGTGACTGCAGAACCCCTGGGGAGGGCCACTTTCTCTCAAAAAGCAGAGTTTTCCTCTCATTGGGATTCAGCTGCTGAATCCCAGGCTTAGAACAGGCAGTGATGACAGAGTTTCTTGTTCCTCTCCCCCTACCAGCCATCCAGGACACCCTTGTGCAGCACGTGCCACGGCTGGTTCCTCTCACGGAGATGAAAATCACCCCAAGCCCTGCTCCTGATGCAAAGCACCCCAAGCCCTGCTCCAAATCACCCCAAGCCCTGCTCCTGATGAAGAGCACCCCAAGCCCTGCTCCTGCTGCCCCTCAATCCCACTGCCCCGGGCTCCAGGGTGAACTTTTCTCTGTGTTCCTTCCCACAGAATATGACGTAGTGGGCTACCACAACAAAAGCCAGGTCTCCAGCAAGCCCCTGGACGTGCTTCAGACTGGGAAGAGCATTTGTGAGGGATATGCTGGGCTCTTTGAACAAATGTGCAGGTAAATTCAGTTCAGAACCATTCAATGCCAGGGAGAGTGAACGTTCATTGTCATCTCTGGGCCTCTCCCTTCTGCCTTTGCATTGACTGATGTGACTTTAAGCAGGACGTGGAACTTTAGCTTTCAAACCGTGCTGTGGAAAAAACAGCAAGCCCTAGAAAGGTCAATTTTGCTTCCTCCTCCACCCCCCCACCCCAGCATAATTTACTTTGTGCCATCTGCTGAGCTTCGCCTTGCATTAACATAATGGCAGATGAAAACACAGAGCTAATTTGGTTAGAAGCAGCTAGGTTTTTCCTTTGAGTAGCTGTATGTGAAGGTTAAAAGCAGAGCAGGGCTTGAACAAGGAGGAGTGTTGTCTCCAGCATGCTCCCATGTAAAAGGGAGGCACAGTCCCAGAAGGAGCTTTCAGGAGATGTCCCTGTAGTGGGGAGGACACTGTCTCACACCACATTTTCTACAGCAAGCCTCAAGGTGCATCACCACTGAGGCCAATACTGCAGTTCCCATTTTATAGCTAGGGTGGCATTTAGTGACTGAAATCCATTCTCCTGCCCACAAAACCTCATTGGCTTCACTGGGGGTTAGTTGCCTGAACGAGTGGGACTTCCCCCCACAAAGCAGGTCTTCACAATCCCAAAGCCATAAAACCATCCAAAAAGATCTGGGAAGGTTTTCACTATGAAAATTCACAGGGAAAAGGACAGATTTTTAAAAAAAAAATAAATAAAATACTGTGCCAGATGCTAAAGCACTAAATGCTTCCAAGCAATAACATATTCCACAATATTGGATCCTGCTTTCTAGAGAGTAAAAGAAAGAAAGAGGATGATGAAGTATGAATTTATAACTGCATCTTATGTAACAGTTACTAGCAGTGAGAAGTGGGGGGAAATTTGCACTTGTTCATTAAAAAATATATGTTTAGTTCATTAAAAACATGAATCTTTCCAAGGGTCTCTTGCACTGTTTAAAGGCTCTGTTGATTTACTCTTAATTCCTCAGTTCCAGGTGGATGATTCCTTTTGAGATCCAGGAAATCTCTCAGTCACCCAAACTACTACTTTTGTCAAATATTAGCTAAAAGTTTAGCTCCTTTCCTAAAAAATTATAGCCATAGACAATGCCCCTTCCTTGCAAGGGGATCCCTCATCCCTTCTTGTGCACTGTGAAGTCTTAGGCTGAGTCTAGGCAAAAAGGCAAGAGACAGAGAGCAGTCATCTTATACAAAGGTTTTTCAAAGCCAAGTTTTTGGGGAAAAAAAGGTCTTTTATCATGCTTTTCTTTCCTACCTCCTGTTGAGGCAACTTTAACAGCCCAATTTGCCAGTCACCAGGAGTTCCCCCCCCCCCAAGATCCCCCCCCCCCTAGAAAGCCTGCTGAAGTCTGTGGCTGACACTGATTGAGTCCTCCTTGTCCCAGTGCCAGCAGAGAGAGGAGTTCCTGTTGCAGACACAACAGGGTCACACCCCACCACAGCTCTGGCAGCCAGACTTCTTCCCATTATCTGAGACTCCTGTCACAGAGGAAAGGTGAGCACAGATAGATAGTGGGAAGCTGGCCACAAAACCGCAGTTTCCAGGAATTCCATTCAGGGCAAAGCCTTGCAGTCTGGACTTAGGGAGGAACTGGCTTACCCAAATTAACAAGATGTTTCAGCACCACCTTTGGGATTAAAGCTGACCACACTCCTTCCAGCAGACCTGACCCCTTGGCCACTCCTTATTCATAACTACTCTGAAAACAATCCAGGTTTCACATCCTCTTGCTTTTCCTGTTCTCTACAGTCAGTAGCTTTCCTTTGTTTCAAGCACAGGAGCTTACACCTACCTACCACAAGGATAAACCACTCTGTCTCCCTCTGGAGAAGCCAGATCTGCTTCTTTTTTAGGTGAAATCATCAAAGTCAACCTGAAATGAAAGAGAAAAAGGTGCCATTGAATGCCAGTGACACCTGTAGCAGATTACTTCCTCCTCTGAGCTCTTGCTCACAGAGGATGTTAGCAAAGCAGCAAGAAAGGTTTTGCTTGGATACTTTCAAAGTTCCCAAAAGGAAAGTCAGAGCATTTAAACTGTTTCTCTAACAATAGACAAAGAAAAAACAGCTCAGAGAGACTGAAGGGCAGAACTTGTTCCTCAATGTTCTCTCTGAATATCCCAGCTAACAAGAATGTCTAAAGAAGCCTAGAAGGATTAGATGCCAATCCCCATGAAATTAGTGGGAATTTGTTATACTTAGCTCCTGTTAGGCCCCTCAGAAACTCCTAGGATCAAATCTTCCTTAAAGTTCCCAGGCCAGCTCCTAGTCTCAGTTACATCATGTAAATCCAAGCTCTCACCAGTCTTATCAGTGGAGTTGCTCCAGATTTACTGCCCAGCTCCACATCAGAATTTGGCTCACAGGCAACTGCGGGCTGGCAAAGACTTTACAGACCACCTGTGACACCAGGTTTCTCAATGACATTCCTTCCAGGCTTGCCATGTTCATTTTGAATAGCTCCTGTGACAGGCAGTGCCTGGCTATTGCTGTGTGACAGCCCCTGCTGAAGGAGAGCTGGTTTCCAGCTCCATGCTCTTTGCTGGCCATCTTTAGCAGAGATGGGGCACCACCACCTTGTCCTCTCCCTTGAAGTTTCTCTTCTTCCTGCAGGCTCCCCAACAGGAGCTCTCAGCTGGTTCTCAGCCCTTTGCAGTTGCAACTCTACTTTTGATACTCTTCCTTAAAGAATTCAAGAAAGACTGTAAGGGTTCAATCTGATACTGTTAAAGAAAATCAGCTAAGTAACACAAAAACATCCAGGTTTTTAATAAGTTTGTATGAGAAGCTGCAGCAACCACTTCCCCTTTAAATCAGCATCATCTCTGTGATAAAAGCAGCCCTCCCTGCAAGCACAACTGCACTGCCAAGCACAGCCAGTATCTGTTAGCAGACCTTGACTTCTTAACAACCATGCCAACCATCTTCCCCATAAATATCACTTTCCCTCTGAGTTAAACCCACATTATGCAGACAATCCTGCTCTCAAAGCAGACACAGTTTATTGCTTAAGGTAGTTGTTCCCTTAACACACTCATCAGTGAGGAAGACAAATGTCAATACCACCCTGCACAAAAGACAATCCTCCAAGTGAAGCAATTTCAGATTAATGCTGGAATAAGATGCCAATGTTAGAATCCATTGCTATCAACAGCAGAGATCCTTAATAGGGTGCTTATTTAAATCATACTTACACACCCTTTGTAAAACTTTAATCATTTGTAGCCTGGGCAAGCACAAGCTCACTCCTTAAGGAAACTAAATCAGCATCCAGAGTCCCGTGAGGTCTGAGGTGCCTCAGCTGGTGTCAAACACCAGGCCTGCCATCACAGGGAGAGCACAGGCAGGAACAGACGCCCTTTTAATTTATAATTACACGGGCTAATTGTGGACAGCATCAAAGGGATTCCACTGAGTAACAAGACAGAGAGTAATTAAGCACACTTCAGCTTTGTCATCCTGCTCTAACAACGCTGAATTGATGGTGCCTCGGACTGGAAGAGTGGGAATAAGCAAAAATTGGAGGAGAAAAGCCCCTTTCTCCAGTGGGACACTCTCTCCAACTTCCTAAGCAACTAAAAACAGCCCCTGACCAGCACCTCGGGCATCATGACCTTGAGTTTCTCTCATGCCCACCCAGTAAGAAGCCAGTCACTAGCTCAGCCCAGAAAAACAGAGTCTCTACGTGGTGCCCAACTCCCCCAACTCCTCTGGCACTCACCTGCAGGGAGGCACCTGAGGACCTGATGGAGCTGGTCCCCTGGACTGCAGGACTGAAGCTCTGCAGACTTTGCTCTTCCTTTTGTCCTTCCACAGCAGTACAGCCACAGGTTTCAAACAAAAGTCTCCTGCTGCATCTTACTGTTTCCTTTTAGTATTGCAGGTATCCAGTGCATGAAGCTGTTTGGATACTCTAAAGGGTATGGGTACAAGATGGGGCAGACCTTCACAGGGGACTCTGACCATGCCTGGAATGCTGTCTACCTTGATGGAAGGTGGCATCTGCTCGATAGCACCTGGGGAAGTGGTTCTGTGGATGACTCCTTCACCAAGTTCACATTCAGGTAAAGAACCATCCTCTCTGTCAGCCCAGAAACTTAACACAAAGGCAGAAGGAAAGCTGATGGGTTGGGCACCTCAAACAGTGAGTTTTAGGTCCCAAAGCAAGGTATCTGGGTTGCCTATACAAGGGATGGAGCACGTTACCTGTAGAAGGGCAGCAGCCCTGAGCAGCAAGCTGCATAACTGCTAAAAGTGAACTTGTTTTGCTTATCTCATCTTCAGTTTATGCCATACCACGTGGCACTTGATTCATACCTTTCAGCTGCTTGAGAGAAGGTGCCTTCACACTTTGAAACAACAGCCAGTGCCTCCCTCCTTCTTTAGGAGCCCGTGCTTGCAGGGTAATGCAAATACCCCAGGGTTTTATCCAAAAGCTCAGGAAGACCAAATCTTAGGTTCCTTCTCTGCCTGGTAAACTCCAAACCCCCTGACTTGGTTCCTGCTGAAAGCATCACCACTCTGCAGGGGAAGAATTAACAATTACTCACATCCCTTTAATCTCTTCCTTCTTCCTCCAGGTACAATGAGTTTTATTTCCTGACTCACCCCGCTCTCTTCATCAACAATCACTTCCCAGATAACAGCAACTGGCAGCTTCTTAAACCCACCCTGACGCTGAAGGAGTTTGAGAACAACATGCTGCACAAGAGTAATTTTTACATGTTGGGCCTGCTGACTGCACACCCAGAGACAGCTGTCATCCAAACAGGTAACACCCTGCAGAGGGGAAGCCTCTTTCTTTAGGCAGCCCCACACCCACCACACGCTGTCGTGCACGTACTAAATCACATTTCCAGCTTGGTTCTGGCAAGCAGAGTGCACTCAAAGCTCTTGGAGTAGAGGAGGGTCTTTTTCTTTATCTTTTTCTCTTTCTCTTGTGTTCAAGCTGTGAAAAATTGTGGTAGTCCCTGGGTCTAAAAAGGCAGCCTCAGTCAGGAGCTGAAGATGAGTTACTCTACTAGTGATGCAAAATTAGAAGTACCATTATTATATATTAGCAACTCTGGCTTGAAAAAAGGAGATTAAAACCTTTTATCATGTTCCAAAAGTTGGAATTACTGAACAATGCATCAAGAGACACTTCTTTATGTAATACAGAGCACCCTGAGTAAGTCCAGCAGCTCTTTTAGCATAAAACCATTAAGGTAATATGGCTGAACTACAGGGCCCACATTTAAGATCACCTTCCTCAGATTTTAAATGGGCTGCAGGAATTAACTAGATGGTTAATTTATGAATGCTAAGAACTCAAGAGTGAACCTTTAAAGGCAACAGCATTTTAGGACTTACTTAATGTTGTCTTCAAGCTGTTTGGGAGCAGGTTCACAGGGAGGTAGATTATCTCACGTCCACACACTGGAGGGTTCCTGCATTTTTCTCTGAAGCTTCTTGAACAGCTACTGGGTCTCATCACATCTAATTAAGCCCTTCTCCAGCACATGGCCTGACAGTACTTTCTATTTCATGCAGGCTTTCACATTCTATAGGACCACAGCTCCATTTCAGAGAGTATCATAATAGGATAAATGCACATCTCCAAAACAAAAGCCACTCTTCATTCTTTTTGAGGGACGCTGGTCTGAGCAGACAGCTGCCAAGCCACGACCTGTCAGTTGCAGCTCTGCCTTTTGCTGTTAGAGAAGCAGCAATTTATTGGGACAGATTAGTCTTCCCAGAACAGAGTGTACAGGCAAAAAAAAAAAAAA